TTATTCCAAGGCCTCTCTTCAGCTGCATACAGTCTATATATAAATACGGTCTTATGAAATAAGAACATAAATTTTCGAAATCTGCTTAGCAGAAGTTAAGGAGACATTAATGAGTGAAATGCAGTCAGATGATCTTAACTCACTTAATTGATGTCGAATCATTTCCAAATGTTTTCCCACATATTATTACGTAAACTTCTTTCTGTATGTTGCTGGTTAATTAGTATTTTGTTATCAAACCACTTATCAATATTCCTGGAGTCATCTTCCAAACGTACTATAAATAACTAGTTTCTTTTCATAGCAGGCAAAATGATTACTTCATCGCATCTCACTCGTTGCTATTTCTTTAAACTATGATCGTCATATGTAACTTCTGCTGAGTAGAATAGAACATGCTATTATCTCATTCATCCTATGTATATTTTAGGCCGTCTACAGCTGAAAAGGAGCCTTGAAATAAAATATTCATTTACTGTTAGAAAAGGTGAAAAATCACTTATTTTCTCTCTTAACGATGGATATTAAGCCTTACAGTGCCTCAACTAATTACATTGATGATTTGTGCAGTAGAATGACAGTAATCCTGGAATCACCTCATTTTTATGGAGTGAGCTACCATTTGAAATAACAAAGGTTTATAACTTAGAATGAGAATGTAAAACATTTGATGCAGCGTGATGCAATGAAGTGGAAGGAAGACCAAAAGGTTACGAAAGCAGAGATCTCAATTTTTAATGAAGTTAGTGTTTAAGATGTCATCAATCTTTGTGATTAAACGTCCAGATTCAAACACGAAACTACAAAGAACATCAAACAAATTATACTTGGATTTTCCAGTAACACAAGTATTTTTCGCTCACTGAGTGGATTTAAAACACTCAGTATCGATGATTATCCAGATATCTAAGGCAATTTAGGATCCTATTCTAGGAGTTCGTGTAGACTACAGAACCTGATGAAGTTCTCAAAAAGAATATTCTTTATTGAACAGTCAGTCATATCAAGTTTTAAGTGTTAAGAAAGCTAAAATTCCGATTGATAAATTAAAAGATAACTTGTTAAAACTAAGGTCTACATAGATCGATATAAATGTTTGACGTTTAAATTCTTAGTGTTAAACTGGCAATTAGTATAGGAAAATATTAACTGAACTCTAAAGAAGACACAAAAACTGTACTTGACGAGTATCTAACCATAATAATGATTATTTAAATGACAGCGACAACTGTTGGCCAAAACTTTTGAATTTAACTGACATTTGGTTTTGTATATTTTCATAAATTATATACAGCTGCCATTGAGATTGTATGAAGCAAGAGAATTCTCTTAATTCAGGATCAAATCTTACCATCATTTCTTTATTCCTTGTTATTTCTTTCATATTAAATATTCCTAAGTATCCACGGTAGTCAACTTTATTTGTAACTATGGCTTAAACTACTGTTGAAGTCACATATTAGGTGAACTCCTTTTCCTTTAATCATGTTAAACACACTGACTGTCATTGGCGAATAACATCGTTGACCACTTAGTTTATCAGCTTGGAATTATTGTTTGATTTATTTATATCTAACCTAAAATCTATATCAGTTTTAGCCTGTTCACTTGCATTAGTTCTATTGATGAAAATACACTATTATTTGCTTTATTAATTGAACAAATGAACACTATTGTACAATTCCACCTAATGGTGAGATTTCCTCATACAAATAAAATTAAAATTGACAACCACAAGAAACGGAAGTTAATAAAAATGTTAATTGTAGGTGGTAATATTAATAATGCATGAGTGATTGCTAGAAATAAGCAGCCGTTTATTTACGGAATACAAAGTGGGTTTGTAGGTTCCTTCCTGACATAAGTTTTTTCATCACACAAAACACGTGCTGAGTGGATATGGTGAAGATTTGTATATATCATAAATCTGAATGAAATTACTTCATTTCTCCTGAAGATATTTAAGAAGGAAGTTATTGGGAAACCAACAAGATGATATTATCCAACTGCTTGTACGCATCTGAATGTCTATCAACCACAGTATCAGTTAGAGATGGGTCTAAGCCATACCATTAACTGTGCTAACAGTTTTCAAAGATCTACATAATATGGGTTAATTTCTCTTCAGAAGCAAAGAAAAGAATAAGCGGGAATCATAAAGAAGAATTAGTAGAATGAAGGATATAATGAATTGTAGAAGAAGAAGTTGAGTTAATCTAGTTTATTTTATTCTAGTTTTGAAGTCTGAAGAAGTTATTGAATTCTTTATGAAATTTTTCATGAAATTGCTAAGATAAGATAGAAATCACTGAAATCCTCTTGGTTATGTTATATTGTGGTGGTGTGTTACAGACAATGTGTGGCAACGGAATGTTATTTTCACATGTTCTCACAGTTCAATACTGCATTGGCAACAGAATACTATGTATATTTAAACATTCTACTTCTTGTCATTTGATGTAAACCGAAATCACACGCTCGGTGGTTGGTTAACGAATATAAATTTTAGATATATAAACAGCGGTTTGATTGATGAAAAATATACCTTGGCTTCCGTGTCTTGCCTGCTGTTGTTACAATATGAGTCAATTGGAAAACTGCTCTCTTTTATGTAACAATGAAGCGTTTTCCTTATCTTTAGTTAGACAATTTAATTTAAATCACTCAGTTTCAAAGCCTAACGCTTACCATTTAAGTGTCAATTACAACTTCGCATTTTGTTCCTTTCTATTGAGTCAACTCTCTTCAATAACTAATATGCATACATCATCTATTTCTGTGGATGATCGTCACAAATGGTCTATTTAAAAATTTTCTTTTAGTTCCTCGTGGAAAGCATGTCTTTCAGCTTCCAGCCCTGAAAGTGTTTCTACGAGGTCAGGCTGCAAGCTCACGCCAAAATTTCCTTCTATCACCCGTTGACTACCTGTAGGCAAAATTCAGGAGTGTAACGGCTGGAAATTGAACCCCAACAACATGCGTGGTTGGCGTACATTCTATCCTAGAACCGTCGATTCATGGACCTCTGAGTTATGAGTTCAGTACGCTTTTGCCGCGCGTAAAAGAATTTAGATTGTACTTTTTCGAATTACGGAGCTTCTGTAGAGTCCCGTATTTACTTTTCGTCACTACCTCACTATGCATGGAGTGTGTAAATTTTCAGCCTGCTGCCATCCTTGGATGTGGTAGCCGTTCCTCAGGCTCCTTTTCCGGAATCGAACCTTGATTTCCTGTTGCCCCTTATTACCAAGGTAGACACATCATCTACCATACGTTTGAAAGATTCATAGCCGATACAAGGCCGATTGTGATCATTAAAGTTACCCAGAGCTATCACATAATCCAACAGATTCAGCCGAAACCTCATCCTTTTGGTTCTGTTCTAACCCATCCCCTTGAGTTTTGAGGGAATAATTGCATGTATCAGCCCTACTACAGTTATCTATGTAGTGTATATGATTTAAGGAACCATATGGTTTTACCGTCCCAAATTATTTATTTAGACATCTGTGAGACAAGGATATGTCTACCGGTAATATTAGGGATCCATGGGAATGGCATAACCCACGCTGAAGTCTTCTGTGTAACTTTTGCTAAAGTTACGACTGAATTTTGTCAATGGCGATGGAACCAAGTGAATTTACCAGTGATAGTGGTGTCTCTAAGTGTTTAGATCTAGACTAAAATTTACAGTGTAAATTGACCAGTATCAACAAACATAAAAAGGAATCAAGTATAATTCCGAAAGTGTCAATATAGTTGTAGACAAGATGATGCACACTAACGTATCAGTAGAGAAAAGATGAGTTAATCGAAGCTATTCAGATATATGATAAATTATTGGTAAATTAAGTCATGTTCTGAACCATCAGTCAAATGAATGGAGACGATATTACAGGAATCATCCACATAATCCACAAACCACTTCAGTCTATTGAACAACAAAATGCTTTTTTATTCGTTAGACAATCACAAATGAAAACTGAAAAATTGGTGGTTATGTAGTCCTCACAAGTTTGATTTCATAATTTTTGCTTCCCGAGTGGATCACAGGTTTTCAAGTATTTTTTGAAGTTCAATTAGCCATGTCGCTTAATTTTATGGGATAGGGTTGCTAGCTTACCCACCCGAGCTTCCTTTTTTACTGAATTACTAACGGCTAGTACAGTAGACGATTTTTCTGAATGTGTCAGCTGAAAATGGATCCATGACCCAATTGACTCAGTGGTTCAATAGTAGGATGCTTGCCTGCCATACTAGCTGTCCGAGTTTGTTTCTCAACTGAAGCATACAGCTTTGGTCTCGATTAGCTCAGTGATAACGTGTTAGAATGAAGCACTGCCTGACGCAAGTTCGAATAAGTACAAAACCTACATACATCTACGGCTTCGTACAGACAAACTCCAACCATTTAAGGTCAACATAAGAAACTATGCGGGGATAATTCATTCATAAAGTAGTCCACAATATTAATTTATCAAATTTTGACCGTATAAACTGAAAATAAGTTGTCTGAAACGTTCGCACAGAAATGATGTGAGAAGCCAAACGGTCAAATTGCATCCCTGTATGTGCATACTACAAAAAAACTATAGAAAAAATGGGTTTTCTCCTGAGAAAGTAAGTGAACAAGCTTCACCTACGTAATTTTTCAAGCCAAAAATCATTTTAGTCGTTGATATTCTCGTCTTCCAAGAAAAAAGTTGTACCTGAAAATAGTATCTCGTGGTATTAAATGTAAGTCAGGTTTCTCGTCTGGATAGGCCCCAGACTAGTAGGCTGTTGGTTCAAATTCTGCCGCCAACGAGATTTCTATATTTCACTTTCAGTCACCACCAATTCCATCGATAATGGTCTGTTAGACAAGGACTACCTCAGATTAGTCTCACGACCAACTAAACAACAATGTATGATAAATAACTTCAAAGTCTTATAACATTTCAGTGTTGAGCGCAATTAAGATATACACACTGAAAGAAAATGAGGCCAGGTTAACTTACTTTGAATCGAAATTGTCTTGGACCATTGTCATAATCCAATGCATTATTCACTGTAATACGTCCTGAATTGGCATCTATTTTAAAATAATTTTGTGCTATATTCCGATCACATGGACAATATCCATATATTAACTTTGAGTGTAATCCATCATCTTGATCTGTGGCATTCAGTTGTAATACAAAACTACCTATAGGTAATGTTTCACGTAGATTGCCATTCAGTGGTCTGTAAATTACATAATTCAACTCTGGATTATTATTATTATTTGAATTCAGTTGACTGTTTACTTCATATGGATTTAGTGGGTTGTGAAATTGTGGAACATGGTCGTTTACATCGATTAGAGTTACTAAAAGTGGTATACTGGTGGTTTTAGGTGGATTGCCTAAATCACTTGCTAACAAGGTCAAGTTATAAATGCCGCCTTGACCAGAAAAATCTTTAGTCTCTCTATCCAACGGTAATATAGGCCATATTTGTAATGATGTATCATAGGTGCTTGTCAGTGTATTTAAATTGTTGCTGGTGTGATAAACATCCATGGTTAAGTCATTGGTTTTACGGTGTATCAGTAAATCGGGACCTGCTTGCATATGATACTGATTATTATTTTGGTTATTATTGTTGTTACTGATTCTGTTGACGTTATCTGATAATCGAAAGTAATCCGCTCCTGGTCCAACCAATCGGTATACAACTGTCCCATTTGAACCCAAGTCGGGATCATAGGCACGATCAATTGATTTAGCACTTCTTATTGCATCATTTTCATTAATTGGTCGTAGAATTGACTGAATTGTATTCCATCCATTCGTGTTAGGCGGTGAAGGTGTCTCTACAAAGCTTACATGTAACATATTCGTTTCGTGCCATCTTGGCGCGTTGTCATTTATATCATGTATTACAACGTGTAATAATATCCTTGCTGTTTTAACCGATGATTCCGAGTATTTTTCATTACTTCCAGTAGGTGTGGTGTGATGTGGTTTAGTAGTCATAAGTATGTTTAAGGGTTGTATACATTCATTTGGGGATGAATTTGGAAAATCACTGATAAACTTTCCATTCATTTTGTTAGCATCTCTTTGTGATGCAACTGTACTACCACTACTGCTAATGCTACTGACAGCACCCCCAGCAGTAGAAGTACCATCCCATGATGAACATAAAGATTCTCTATCAATTCTACCGCTAATAATTAATTGCCCGGTATGTGGATCTAGTGTGAATAAATTTGAAAATGTCCCGCTATTAATCAGTTGAAATGTTTGAGTTAAACCTTTTATCTGTTCACGTGATATTAATTGTTCTAAATATTCAGCAATTCTAGGTACTATACTTCCAATTGGACTTTCTTCAACAATGTCTACACGGAGTGGGATATCATTGATACTTTGTACAGTTAAATTGAATAAAATATACAATGAGACACTGGTCAGAATAATATTCACCATTGTGTTAGTATAAACTGAATTCAAAGAATATCTCCTTGAGGGGAAAAAGTTGATTAAAGCATTGTCTGCGTATATTTTACATCATTAGATTCTTTAAGACAATTAAATCTGCACTTATTTCATCTTAATTGAATGTTGGAAACAATCACCTTGATTACCTGAAATTCGATTGGTTATTTATTCAAGTGTTCGACAATTGAATCACTTTTTTGCTGTTCTGATTGGTTGAAATTAAAATGCACATTACTAAGGTTTATTGTCTTTTACACATGAATAAGTCAGTAAGTGGACGTGAAAGAACACTGAATGCAAAAACAAATAATGGGAAAGCATGTTGGCATGGTAACTAGTTCAAAAATTTTTCTTGAAATAATCAAAGCAAACAATGTGTTTTGAAAAAGAAAATAAAGACCGACAATAAATAAAACAAAACAAATTGAACAGTAATCTATATTTGTTTTCACACAAGTCAAAAAAGTGTTACCATGACATGAGAAAACTGCAATATCTTAATAAAACAAAATGATGTCTAACGATAAAGGGAACATTTAGCAATTTTTCACCATGCACAATAACAAAAGAGAGTATCATAAAGACTAGTCACACGATAAGACAGCGATATTCGATTACCCTGGCATAAAGCGAAATTATGGGACATAGTTTTCTAAAAACACATCAATAGCTTGATACTTTAGTTTTCTGGTTCATGTTTCAAACTGGATTTGTGATATACAATACTTTTCTGTATAAATTCGTTTTTAACATATTTTATGTGTGTGCGTATGTGACTGGCTGTGCGAGGTTATGACTCATCAATGAAATCAATGGTAATAGCAGCAAACAAGCATTGTGAAAGTTGCACTGTTAATTCGTAAATGCACTAAATTGAAGATTATGACAGGAGGGTAAGAGACTTTTTATCAAAAATGAGTGTACAATAGTTCTTGCTGTAAAAATACGACATAATGATTCCTTCGATCGATAGCTTAGTACCCCAATGTGAAGTAACTAGGTATAATCAGATGATTGGGATTGATGAAGAAAAGACTTTGGTTTTATGACTTGATCACCATTATCAGAATCTGTAAAACATATCCTAGAAGGCTTAAGTTTAACATTTAAACTTTTTATTTAAGTTGTGCAGATTTATTCCCTTAATACCAACGTGGATAACTATTGCATTCGAACAGTCAGAATCTGAATCAGTTACCTATCTGTCAATCTAACGCCCTGTGAAAATTAGCGAAAAATCATATATAATTCAACTTGATGTTTCTAAGATTTCTCACATGTGTTTTATAAGTAGTTGGTTGATGTCTAATCACTGCTACACAACTGTTGCAGTTATGCTTCATGATACCTAAGATACCTAACCAACATCAAGAACAAATATCAGTCACTATCAAAGCGAGGAATTTGAAGGAAGTTACTTCTTTCACTTATGGAGGAGGCATCACTTCAACTACGGGTAGGACACATGTGAATGTCAAAGACAGCCTGGGCTGGAAAAACATGACAGACTTAAATTGCTCTGAAATCAGTATGGAAATTTGCTGTATTCATCATGAAGAACAAGGTTCTGATCTTCAGCACTAATGTAAACTCAGTACTTGTATATGGTTCAGTGAATCGGTGTTTCCACAGAAAATTATTTTCAACCGACTGCAGGCATTTATCAACAGCTACCCTCTCCTATGATTTAAGATCAGATAGATGAACAGAAAGGATTAACAACAAGGAGGTCTGGTAAACAACCATCCAAGAACCTATTGTCCAACAAATAAACAGATGTAAATGTTGAGGAATTGGATATACATGGAGGCTACAGTCGAGTAATATAACGTTCTAGGCACTATACTGGAATTCGAACAGAAGACGACGAGTTTGGGGTGGGGCTGTCTGTGACATGAAGAAGATCGTTTGAGTAGGAGATGAAGGCTTATGGGCAGTCGTGGAGCCAGCTGAACAGAACTGCAGAAAACAGGAAGAGATGGAGATGTGCTATTGAAGCTGCACATCCCACTCGGAAATCATGAGAACACTAATAATTATTATTATCTTTTACTGAGCCATGGGTAGAATAAAGTCACACGGGTACATCTTCATTGCACTCACTTTCTGACATCAGTTTCAACTGGTTCCATGACTGCCTACAAGCTCTCATTTCCTATTGACATGAAATACTCCGAATTACATTCAAGTTCAACTCGCCGAGCTAGCGTATAATGTCACTCGTGAATATCTCCTCGGTGTATGCCCAATCTGTTTCCATTTCCTTCTGCATACTTGTTGGGCAATAGGTTATCTGACCATTCCTAAGACGAGATAATTTGTAAGTTTGGATGTGGAGCTAATAACCCTACTCCGTAAAAAACACCCTGATGGCTATTGAAACTTAAAAGCTCATAAATATCTTGTGATTCTAACTTAAGTGAAAATGAAATGTGAATGAGAAACAAATAAGTATTTTTAAATTAGCCCATTTGATGTAGGTGAAAGGTTGCGATATATCTGGATATCTACATATGTAAAGGTGTGAAGCAGTTCGATAAACCATATCAGAGTCCCTAAAACAATGAAGTGTAGTCTGATAGCTATGTGTAAATTTAAGCGTTCAAGATAGTAACGAATGAAGATCAGATGAGGAGGAAATGAAAGTTTCTGGATAGTTATGGTGACAGCCAAAAGTGGTATCGCAGAAAGGGGGATGGAATTGCGACATTCTATTGGGAACCTATATTTCACTCGTGATGTAAGGGATGTATACTACTGGTAATATATGAAGTAATTTTAATTACAATTTGCGCATTTCAAAATATATTTAACTGCTATCTTGTGTGAAATGCTTTTATATAGTATCAGAAATGTTAGTCTAAGATAAATTGTGTGCTGTTTTTGTAATCGAGTTATAAGTAGTTTTCCTGAATTAGGATTAACTCGAACTTATATCTAGAATGAATTAATAACTACACAGACTGTAGTCATCTTCTATTACTGAGACGATAAAAATTTAGATAGCTAGTCCATCAGACAACCAGAATACGTATGTGTATTGTGAGAATGATGTCTAACACACAAATAACTTGGTTTTTTTTATAGTCCTAAGACAGACTCACATCCACACTGCAATAAACGTATATTTAGTCATTGTCCATGTATGGGAATAATCAATGGGGTAAGCATACTGCATATTAATGCAATACATGATATTTTATATATAGAATTAGAAGGTAAATATACCGAACGGTATGACTCTTGTTTTATGAATAAAATTAAATATGTGACTATATCAATATTTACAAATCAGCACGATTTGTTTATTCATCTATATTCGAATGAAGACTAAGTGTTTGAATGGGAATCTTTTCACACGAGAACATTAATTGTGTGATGTGATCACCTGATAACAAAATAAATTTGATAAGTCTTTCGTTTACTATGGTGATCATTAACCTATAGTGTGTGTAGGTAATTGAAATTGTTTCCATAATACTGTGAAATATGAGGTCTTTGCACTTTGCCTACATCTAAACGAGTAATGAACTAAACAAATGACATGAAATCATAAACTAATCCCATAGATTTCATTCACCTTGTTTCCTTCATTAGTTTGAATAAAGAAAGAAGGAACATATTTGCAGGATAATACGAGCTCGGTTTATTTCGTGGATTCTCTTCAACTGCGTACATCATAAATAAATCAATTATGTATTACAAAATTTTTTGAACATACATTTTTTACAATGATTTCAAGTTATACATGGAGAGTATAAGCAACATAATTTCAAAGATGAGGTAAGTAGACACCTATTTAGTGTTAAAAGAGTAACTATTTATATAGTAATTAGAGAATGGATTGGGATTCCGGTTTATCTCTGATACTAGAATGAACTAGATAAAATACAAGATAGAACAACATAGTTAAATTATACATATAACGGTGGAGAGTTCAGGAGGGTGGGGGTGAATAGTGAAGCAAAATTATAAAATAGATCAAATAATTTAATTTAGTAGGTTTGGAACATTAATAGTGAGTCCAACTCAGTGAGTGAAAATTAAAATCAAGATTGAGTGGAATGCTATGCAAAAGAACAAAACAATTATGGTTACCAGGGTAGTGAGAGATTAGTCACACTCTCTTTCTGTATGCATAGGTTGTGTTGAAGTCTTTTGATGGCAGTGGCTTCTGTGAACCGAAGTAACCATGCTTTTCTTTTGGTATTGGTTATTTCGAAAGCCTGACTAACTTCCACTGTATGTCCTGTGTCAATTAGGTATCTGGTGTTTGCGCTTGAGAACATTTTGCTGCTTTGAAAACGGAGACTTCTAAGGACATGCTCGGAGAATCTAGTAAATGGTCTCCTCTTAGCCCTTCCTATGTACTTGCTACCGCAAGTGCAGGTGAATTGGTAAATGCAGTTTGAGTTGATGTGAGCAGAATGCTGTCTACTTTTGACTGGGTTAACGAGGATACTGTATTGTAAAGTGGAATGAGTTTGGCAACAGGAAGTGTCTTTTTCAGTGCACCTTTAGTTCTGTTTTCCGTTCTTCTGAAACCTTTTTCGCCTTTGTGTGCTAGACAGATCCTTGTTTCCAGGATAAATCGGAATCCCAATCCATTCTCTAATTACTATATAAATAGTTACTCTTTTAACACTAAATAGGTGTCTACTTACCTCATCTTTGAAATTATGTTGCTTATACTCTCCATGTATAACTTGAAATCATTGTAAAAAATGTATGTTCAAAAAATTTTGTAATACATAATTGATTTATTTATGATGTACGCAGTTGAAGAGAATCCACGAAATAAACCGAGCTCGTATTATCCTGCAAATATGTTCCTTCTTTCTTTAATCTTACAGAATTACAGCTGATGAAATTTCAGTAGCTGGGATTCAGATACACTCTAAATAGTAAGACTTTAGGCTATATAAAGCACTGATAATAACTTGAAATTTAATCTAATGATTATTTGGGCTTAGAGCTCTAGTAAGATGCCGTTACCATTAGGGTCGACTATATCGGGTTTCAGGAGAGATACTCGTTGATGACATAGACTGGAGGTCACGCTATTTGTCACAGATTGGCAGAAGTTAGAATTTACGGGACATTGGATACCATCCCAGTATCAGTATAGTCAACAGACTCACCTGGTAGTCTTAAATTCTTGGATTGGTACTTCTGAAAGGTCCCAAACTAGAACAAAACCGCTGTCCAGTATTCACTGGTTTTTCGTGAT